TCAACTTCATCCACAACGAATTTAGTTTTGATTACAATGGCAAACGATCCAAACTTTCGCTGAAGGCGGCGAAAGATCTGCAAACCATGCAGACTGAGTATGATGCCACAGCGAGCACAATCGCCAGAGATGATCGGAAAGACTTGACGCAACGTGCACAAGAAGCATCAGAGGGACTCAACAAAAAATTGGCCATGTACTGGAACAAACGCTTACAAGACACCACATTGGCCGACAGGATCCGTACTCTGTTCCGAGAATGAAGGATCACCATTGCCAGCATTCTGACCGCGCTCGGCTTCATCATATCAGCTACCACCCAGCAGTCCCCCAACACCACATAGCAGTGACATGAGACTGGATAAAAAAACATCTGAAATCTCGGAGAAGCACTCACGAGACTAGCTGGCAAAGCCGCCGAAGCACTGCATCCTAGCCAGCATCATATCGTGGCTGCTGGTCTTGCTGTCGAAAACGACAATGTGGCTTGGTCAAAACCTGTGGATGTTCATCGTCGCCGTGGCAGGCGTAGTGTACGTCGCTGCTAAGGAACTTTAAACAAATGAGGCACAGTCTGACCGTGATCCCACCACCCACGACCACCGTCTTGCGATCAACATGTCGCTAATTATCTGCCACTGCTGCCACTGCTGCCACTGCGCCTGACGGTGTCTGCATTTGAACACTGCTTGGCTTCGGTTGTTGTGGTGGTACCACTTTGCCCGTTTCACCGGTGTGAGTCGGCACAACGTGACTCGCGTTCACGGCGAGATTCATTCCGAGTGTCTGATCGCTGGTGGCGATGACAATTACATTATTGTATCCCACCACTTTATCGATCCTCAGTCGCATGTCACTCGTGGCCATGAACAACCCTACGCAGAAAACATAGGCGACTTTAGACATGGCATTCTCCAACACGTTTTTGTATTGCTTGATGGCCGTCGGTAAATTCACCGGCGACACGATTGAATCCTCAACTTTGGGCACGGATTGTTTCTCGCATCATAAGACAAGTTGCTGGAAAGCGTTTGAGCCTGCACGCCGATAACAGCCCACATGTAGGTGCGAATCGAATCGTTCAGTCTGACGACACCCACGCGAGAAAACCCTTTGATCAACGAATCCAACATCAATTTTTTCCAATCACCTTCTCGGTCCCTGCTGAATTTTTTCTGCAGTTTGCTGGCTTCCATCCACCACATTGTGGACGATGGGAATACCCAAACTGTGGTTCACACCCGGCAAATGCCATCTTCGAATCGAGTTCCAATTCATTGCAAATAGGTTTGTACGCACACGGATCGTACAAATTGTTCACGGCACTCCACACCCTGTCAGTGCGCTAATTTCTTTCAAGATGCACCTGATCTAGTAGCACATGTGAAACGAAAGAATGACTGACTCAACAGATCATAATGAGTATCGTTCAAAGTCACACCACACCCTGTCAAGGAATAAAACAACATGTGAAATATTATAATGGTAATTATTTGTATTTGTTTTCAACAGGTACGTGATGCTGCCGGGAATACACAGCGGCGAGCCCGTTCAACTGCTGCACACGATCGATAACACTTTGGGTCAACCCGAGGGTCGCTCTCTGCGATATCACATGTTATCCGCGATGGACTAACACCGATGACAACAACAACAAACTCTTGGTGAACAAACAGCGACACATTCTGACTGACGGTTACTGTGCTCGCTCAACGACGGAAACTTCAATCCTCTGGTAGCCGAACTCAAACTGAACGATTGCAATGGCACGAACGGTAGAACGCTCGGGTTGATGTCGAACGATATACCACCGCAAACCACTGTGATGGCCTCTAAACTGCCCGACCTAGTTCCCTATCGCAAGGTGTGCATTCATCCCCATCAGATCAGCATGACCGATAACATTCAAGGCGAAAGGCCTTCGACACTGCTGATAGCCATTCCGGTCAAAAAAAAACTACAACAACGGCAGAACCAAATCGTTTTCGTCCTTGCAGTACAAGAAATTAAACTAAGGCACAATCACGGAATTAAAAATATCTGTTTTAGATATAAAACACGAACCAATAAGATATCTCAGCACAACACTATACATAAAACAATGGCACACACTTCGGGCCCCCGAAAGCAACGTAGACGACCTCGGACCTGAGGGATACGAGGATTTGATGAACATGGAGTCAAAGGCAAGCTGTATGCCTTGCAACTGAAAAACAACGTGTACAAACGCAGCGAAGTGCATGACGATGGTGCTACTTCTAGTAACCTAAGAGACGATGTCCAGATTATGGATGGACTCGTCAGCAACACTCGATACAATCAAAGTATTTCTCAGAGAGCAACCATCCGATGATGAGGTCGAAATCGTGACGGGAGTCAAACTCCATTGGGCTGAAAAGCATAAACATCTCGTTTGCACGATTTACTTACAGAGAAGCACGACGGCTTATGCAAGTCTCGAGGGCGTTAATGTCACCATGGAGAATAATATTTAACTCGGCAAAATTTTCTTACCCACGAATATACATCTCATCAGCCTGAAGTTTACGCACGAAATACTGATGGAAATCCAATTGAAAACTATTTTATAAAATTATCATATAACGATGGACATTGCAAAACGCACTACACTAGCACTCTCCAATCTCGGGCACACGCGCGATCAACCCGGTATGTGCACCTTGCAGTTACAAAACGTGTACAAACGACGAGAAGAGATACTCGAACTGAACGGGATAATCAATATTATCCTTACCTACCCAAATATCGTTGTGAATGATGAGGGGTTTGTCATGATGAGGGGTTTGAGGGGTTTAAAACCTTACAACAGGGCGACGTACGTATCAACATTTCTAGACCAAACATGCAATATGTTATTCACCCGTCCGGATAACACAGATAAATTGTTTATATTTCATAATTAATAAACATTATTCTTATCAGCGTAAAGTATACGCAATAAGAGATTGACGGAAAACCAATTAAATATTATTTCCTAACTTATATTATATAGATGGGATTGTATCCGGCCATGGAGGAAGTGGCTAAAAACACTTGAAACCGCGGACGGATTTTGTCTGCAACAAATAAGCGACGTCAAACGCCAGCTGGAAAAAGAATGTGATGCGCGACTAGGATTGCACAAAAGTATCATAGAGCAGTGAATGCTGTCGATGGTATAGACACCGCGCTAGTTGCATGGAGCTGGGGCTGGGGCGTCGGCTTATTGTCGACGATCATTTGCGTCGTCCTCATGCTGAAATAGCAGCCGGGGTATAACGCATTGAAGTATAGCTCTTAGATTAGGGTTTTAGCTGCAAAGCCAAGCTGAAGCACGATCAAGGATCACATATCAACAGCACTCGCCGATCAATGCAAGATCACTCGCCGATAGCAAGATCACGGAAGATGAGGTGTTAGCAGAACTCGCCAATACCACAGAATGAACAAAAGATTCGAACCAAGGCCCGCAATATGAGATGCGAAGAAAAAGTTGATCGAACAGGTCAGGCAATAGGCGCGGCAAGCATTCCTTTCCAAAATTAAAGAAAGCATAGGAGAATAAAGCTCAACTGTTTCCTCGATATCAATGTAAATCCATAAAATAATCCAATGGTATTTGGTAAAACCGTTAAAGTGGTCGGATACCAAGCTATGATTTTCCCGTAGTTCTTGAAAGTTTGGGCTGGCTCTACGCGAACTCTAAATCCGGTGTCGAACTTGCCCATGTCTCTCGTTATCCAACTAATTTTTCGGTCCCCGTCCACAAATGATTCCGCATAGTGAGACTTCTCTTTTAACGCAAGCTCCAATCTTTGGTTTACACAAACAACGGCCCCATCTTTAAGCACAACTCTACTAGATCTTTGTCCTGCCTGCTTACACCAACTCAGAATGTCCGTCTCTCTGTCCGCTATGATTGATATATTTTTAGTATGCTTAGCTCTCAGGAACTGATACACTGTTCCATACCAATACAACAACACACTTCTTTCACTCACACATGCCTTAGGCTACACGCCTCGTTCCACTACACACAGAATATTTCTACTAATAATACCACACCACTTCAACTGTACACACTACTTCCTCCACATGCACTACTTCCCCACAATAGACACTGCTTCCACCTACACACACCTACTTCGACTAGCATACACTGCTTCCACCACAATAACACTGCCGACACCACACACGCACCCTTCCATTAGATAAACACCACTTCCACTATAAACGCTGCTTCCACTACACACTACTACCACTACACACAATATTTCCACAATACCCACTACTACCTTTACACACACTACTTCACTACTTAAGGTGCAACGTCCACAAGACCCACAACCCAATTACACACACCACCGCCTTTCTACACACACTACTTCCACCGCACACACTACCTTCCACGACACCACATTACTTCCACAATAATCACTCACTTCCCACTACACACTACTTCCGCAATACCACTACTCCTATGACACACACTACTTCCACTACACACACTGCTTCCACTACACAAGCTACTACTGCCACTATACTCACTACTTCCACTACACACACTACTTCAACTACACACACGCTTACTTCCACACTACACACACTACTTCCACTACAACTTTTTGTACACTACTTTCCACTCAGACATTACTACTTCCACTACACACACTGCTTCCACTTCCATACGCCACTTCAACTACACACTCCTTCCGCTACTCTCACACAAATTGCGCTACACACAATGCTTCTGCTACACACGCTCCTTCCACTACACTCACATGCGATACCTTTTGAAACAGCGCGATCTACAAAACACATTTTTTATACATGCACTACGTCTTCTAATCAGATACCAAAAGGTTTCATTTGGATTACATACAAACTTCGCACTTTACAAAGAATGATGTTTTCTCTCTATTGCATCATGAATCAAAATATTTATGTTTACACACATCTTCTAAACTCTCCTTCACATCATGTAAGACCTGAGAACGTACCTGTCAGTAAACTCGACTGCTGTTTGTCGCGGAATTATTTTCAACGTACGGTAAACCCAGGGAAAACCGTGGGATTTTACTCCACTTCTTGCCAACACCATAAGCACGGCAAGCACACTGTACATCCAACGTCCGTTGTCAGTCGCTTGGTCCTTCGTGGCTGGACACCGCTCTATGTTCTGGCGCGGAATCCTGACAATCCGGCACCTTGCGGAAGGAATAGTTGGAGGAGATCATCTAATAGTTGAGAGATACAGGATCCATGACGTGTAGAGGCTCCGACATTGAGCAAGCAAACAAACAAACAAAGCCACTGTATAGGACGGGATCTTAGGTATAGCGGTTTCCCAAATGGCTGAAGAAGAAGAAAATAGCTACAAGATAACCGATTTCGTTGCAGCTCATTAGGAGGCCACTTTTGTACTGCTGAGTCCAAACTGTTTCTCCAGTGCTGTGATCTGTGATGATGTGTAGGACTTGACTGATTCCAGCACCAGTGACGACACTAAATAAGGCAGTAAACCAGAGGATGTTGTTGAAACGCAAACGTCGACGTCCTCCAGACTCAGTCTTGTCGTTGACACTCACGCAGTTCTGCTCCATCTTGAATATCTACTGCCTGATCGACAGATGAAGGACATGTACTGAGCGAGATCTTATTGGAAAAACAGACAAATCAACGACGCAATTTCTCTATATATGGACTTACCGCTCGTGGGAGAAAATAGCATAGATATCACTGAGTGCCCGTTTCTTGCCGGATGGCTGGTTTGTGTTATTCAGAAATTTGAGATTGTTTGTTGCTAACAGCACTCCGACTATAATGTAAATAATCGCTTAGGGGCCATGCAACACACATTGACTGCCTGCACACGAACAACCACAAGGTTAGGGCTTGATGGTTCTCAAACAAACTGGCTTCACATTACACCACGCCAGTGCAGCATGCTCTATAGACATGGGGCAATCGGATTTTTGCATACATTACTAACTTCCACTTCACTCATTATTCCAATTAAAGTTAAGCATATGCGGGTTGACATAGATGCCTTTCGGCTATGTACCGTCAGATGCACATCGGTTACTGCAAAAATGTAGGTCAACATAATTTATTGTGTTAATGATACATGTCCTTGGCAATTGAGGTTTCTTATGCATGTATACTAGGCACATAAAGAAACTGTGCATACAAAAATTTAAAATCTAAATTTATCAAACCTGTGTAGACACATAAGGATTTAAACTCAGAGATTAGTGACATGTATCCAATATGCAGGTTACGTGCCACGTTCCGTGACGTCAGTGGGTTCGTCCTGAGACGTAATACGTTGTTGCACGTGCATTCCGGGAAAGAGAAACAGAGCAAATGAATGCCACACAATACTGTCACTTTGAAAGCTCAACCCCTGCCCTTGCGATCGTTCAAAAAAAAACGGCTATTGAAACGCATAGCATGCCAAGGCTCACTGCCTGCACAACGTCATGAGGCCATTGGGATGGTCCGTGGGGGAATGTCTCAACGACAAGTGGTTGCACATTTCCACTGCCACCGGAACACCATTTCTGCATTGGTGAGACGCTACCAGAACACAAATGACGTCATCGATCGGCCACGTTCTGGACGTCCACGTGTAACAAACGCCAAGACAGGACATATGGATAAGGGTGACACATCTTCGCCACAGGTTTCAGACTGCAGTGATGACTCGTTCGTACCATCCCAGGACTTCGCCGTATCCACCCCAACACAGTTCGACAACGCTTACGTCATCACGGGATCAGACCACGACGTCCCGCCATACGGCCTATCCTGACACAACGTCATCGACAAGCTCGCCGAATGTGGTGCCGAAATCATGTCCGCAGACCCTTGTTTTGTGGAGAAATGTTGTTTTACAGATGAGTCCAGGTTTAACAGTTCCCATAGTGATGGACGTCAACGATGCCTATAGACGCGTGGAAGAACGTTATGCACAGGCCTGTGTCTTGGAGAGGAATCGCTTTGGTGGTGGTTCCGTGATGATTTTGGGTGGAATAACAGCAGGCCAAAGAACTCCTTTGGTGATTGTTCAGGGCAACTTAACTGTGAATACACAGGATCAGATTCTTCGACCTGTGGCAATTCCTTGCAACGTCATGGCCCTGGGTTAACATTCCAACAGGACAATGCCCGCCCTCATACGGCAAGGGTTGCTATGGATTTCTGGCAACACCACAACGTTGACTTACTGCCTTGGCCTGCAAATTCACCGATCTTCTCCCCGATAGAGCATGTTTTGGGACGAGATGGATCGACGTCTACGCCGTCTTCCTCATCCGCCAGATAACGTCCTGACCTTGCAACAGAACTTGAGAGAATCTGGCGTGACATTCCACAAGCCTTCCCTTGCACGTTTGATAGGCTCTATGCGACGTCGATGCTGTTCTCAATGGGGATGGTGGACATACCTGTTATGAGCTTGTGACATGGTCGTTTGACCCTGTCCCGCTTAGGACGTCGTGACGTCATTCCCAGGCATTGTTATGGTCTCATGATCCCTCCATTAAAAGTTTACATGTACCTTTGACATTGTTATCGTACTTATCAACTGGGATCATATTTTGACAATGCACAGTTTCTTTATGTGGCTAGTATATGTATGCATGTATGTACATGTATGTATGTATGTATGTATGTATGTATGTATGTATGTATATGTATGTATGTATGTGTGTGTGTATGTGTGTGTGTGTGTGTATGTGTGTGTGTGTGTGTGTATGTATGTATGTATGTGTGTGGTGTGTGTAAGTGTGTGGTGTGGTGTGAGTGTATGTATGTATGTGTGTGTGTGTGTGTGTGTATGTGTGTGTGTGTGTGTGTGTGTGTGTGTGTGTGTGTGTGTGTGTGTGTGTCCTTGGGGACGTGACATCAAACAATACGTTCAATCATGATAGCGTTCTACTCAGCAGCACCCGGTGAGTGATAATAGGAGATGCACTGCTTAGTGCATTAAGAAAAAAGACCATGTAGCTTTATTTATCTGCAGCTATAGGTTGCCCCACTGAACTGAACTTTCACTTCCTCTCAGTTAAACAGGTTTTGACTGTGCATTCCTACAATAAGTGCATATGGTCCCCCATGATAGAATTGATTTGCAATATTTGCACTCGAGTGGAGAAGGAACATAGGCGGGGAAAACAATCGTATTTCTAAACACAGCAGGACCAACCTACTTTTCTTTTTCTTTTAGCATAGGGACAAATGTTTACATATCCGATACATAAGTACATATGTAAAGCATGAAATGTTACATCCTTGTTACTATGTGAAATATTAAATATATCCATTTCACATAGAGATGAAGATATTATCCACGGATGTAGAAAGTAACATCCTCGGAAATGCACAGCATTTGTTGGTAGAGGAAGACGTACATAGCGTGTCATCACAGGTGCTCGTACATTACAATGCGATAAGACTGCAGATTACAAGTCCTCTGGTATATGTAATAGAGCATTCCTGATTACAAGCCAACATGCATGCGCTCATAACCGTTCAAAACGCTTACCCGTATATCTGTACCAGTCAAACCCGAGCTGTCACGTTCTGCACAGGGACGCTACATCCGGGTATTTCATATACGTCATCTGCATGCTCCTGCCCGAGACAGCAGGACCTGTGACCAAACAAGCTCCTCTACTCTATTCTTTCACTCCAAGCAACTAGCCGATGATCACACACCATAAGCATGCGAGTTTGATTCACGAAGTGGTGAACTACTTACGTGGCATTTAGAAGCTGGTATGATAAAGAGGAACACTTTTATGGATATACAACTTTCTTTTCAGTGGATGCGACGTTTCGGTGTAGATCCTAACACATTTATGAAGACGTGACGAAGGTGTTCTAACCTCGACTTCAAGGGCTTGGGTTGTGGAGCTGTTTATTGCAGTCAAAAGAAATATTCTCGCTGATAATTTATTTGGCATTGTATGGATCGGTTTTTTTATCAACAGCTTTCTATTTGCCACTAAACCTTCCGTTCTCTTGCTCTCGTTAAGCAATGCATTGAGAATATCTATGGGGAAGCTTTTAAAATGTGAACATTCAATATGTTTTGCCTGAGCTCATTTGTATCGAGTAGCAAGAGTATTCATATCTAAAAATTGCACATGGTCCACACAGACGATTCGTTTCATGCAATGTCCGTACCCCGAACAAAGCTATCGTCTTCAATCCCTCTCATCGACTTACTAGAGAATCACAAGTCGTAAGATGAAAGAGATTAGAAAACAGAGCCCAGTAATGCAACCGTCAAACCTCTCCACGATGAAAAGGACTGCAATTTGAGCTCGCTATACAGTGTGGGTTTTACATAACATGTTACAGGTACTCGTGCATGACAGCGCGATAAGGCAGCAGATTACAAATGCTCAGGTGTGACAGAACTTTCCAGCTTACAAACCTAAAAAGTACTGTGACAGTGCACAATTTATCCTTATATTCTTCATATATGTATATTTTTCTGTATGTATGTATTATGTATGTCTTTGCCACAAATTTCACTTTCATTTTGAAGAGTTGTAATATTGACAGCGTCACTTCATGTCATGGCTCCAGCTGATGTAACGCACTTCGCAAAGATAATTGACATAAAGCCATATACCATTGAAAGTGTCAACTTAAAACTCAATCCATTGTTTATTGCACCAGTAAATTTCTTAATGACCACCGTGCAGACGTCCAGGCCACAAATGTATAAACACACTGCAATAAATCTGATCTAATTGATTACCAGCAAGTTACCATTATGAGACACGGTCATGTGACGTCAGCCAGCAAAACCTAATCCAGACAAGGGTTGTAATACAAACCGTAATTAAGCTGATGTAATTATCCTGTCACGGTCACGTGACTTCCCTCCAAAACTCGTTTCGGCTTGTCCAATCAGTAACTGTTTGTAAAAATATCTGATCTATGTCAAACAACCCAAATCGTAATTACCCTATTATATGTTTTGGCCAATCCCAAAGAATTCCAACATTGATCAGC